TGTTCGATCAGCACCGTTTCTGCCTTCCTTAGTTGCAGCTGTAACATAACGGCCTGTGTCTGCGCGTATTTTTGTGCATGTGTCTGCGCTTGTGCATGTCCGGTCACATATTTTAAATATTGAGCAACACGAGCTAGGCACTGAAATCTTTGAGAACGAAACCCTCGATCGTATAGGAGAGACCCTAAATCAACTTTCGACCCACCACAGATCATGATTTTTGGCTATCCAGAGACAAAACTCAAGCAAATTTTATAACTGGCGAATCCAAAAAAATCAAAGTGAAGTAGCATATTTTATGAAACACGTCATAGCTAAAAATTATGAGACCTGTGCTGTTGTCCGGAAAATATGGTGATACTGGATGGATATGGAACGTGAAATGGCGGCAATGGGGGATGGGACAGGAAGAAAGAAGCAGTGAGAGTGAGTTGGCATGGGTTTGAATAGGTTTTTTTAACCTGAAAACCTCTCTTCAGCCGGGAACTCTTGCCGTAAACCTTCTTTGGTGAGAAGACTCAGCGAAAAATTTTACTGTGAGCTAGCAATGTGGGCGAAAATTTTTCCAGTTAGGAAGGAAGGAGAAAAGGAAGGAAGAGACAGTGCGCATACAGCCATTACACCGTATTTCTGGATGGAGGAAGGCATATGCATACAAGCGTTGAAACATTCCTCTAGTGAGCAGAATGACTTAGAAAACAATGAAAGTGCACAATGTCCCCTAACTTTTGTCTTGGTATTATCATCCAGTAACGTGGAGTACCCATAACTAATTGCCCAGGTAGTTGCTTTGCTCTTGGTAGTGGAAAACGTTCTGTCCGGAAGAAGATAGCAAAGGCGCAGAATTTTCGCCCACCAAACAAGTTTCATCAGAACTGAGATGAACAAGTGCTTTGCGTCCGTTTCCTTCACAATATCTGTGACAGCTGTATTCTGAATCACTCCCGCTTTGTGTGTTCCATGACAGACGAAGATAGTGGTAGCCAAGAGAGTAGAATTTTACTAAACCACTCGTTAAAATCTTCGGCATTTCTGTCCTCCGAGGATTTCTTGGAAAACAAACTGGAAGTGGTTTGCGCCGGCGGCAGCCCCGACATGTCGATTTGACAAATACTGTTTGGGTTGGTTTCCCAAGGGGCATACATTGGACTGACACACTTCCGTTCCTCCATACTTTTTCGCATGAAAGAAATTTTTCAGGAAGTTGGTCTAATTGATGTTCCACCCAAAGCCTTTAACCGGATACCTCTGAAAGTGATCGAAGGATGTAGCAGGTATCGTAACAGTCGCCAGAATCTCAGTCGTATACGGCGCAATTTAGCTCGATTTGGTCGTGAACGAATCAAACAGGAGCACACTCTTGCACTGTATTCAGTGGTCAGTGGTTTTTCCTCATTTTCGTCAAGAATGAGCTCTGTGAATTTGCAAGTATGAAAGGCGTTCATTTTTAGTGCGTCTTACTTGTTTTTTACAAATTAGTGTTTTATCCAGTGTCAAACTTAGCGTTGATGATTGATGCTGATAGGCGTATTTGAAAGAAACGATCAGAAGTGGCTTTTGCTAGTCGGTTGCAGCTTAGTTCGCTTAAGTAAGGAGTATTTCAGAGCAAAAGATCTTGCTTACCTAGCAGAAACCGAAAGTCTTGCTTACCTAGCAGAAACCGAGATTGTCATACAGTTTGGGCGATCGACCGTGATACTTCTAGTTTTTCTTAGATTCCATGCAAATTTTGCCACTGAGGTGCTCGTCGAACGTAGCTACGACAGATCGTTCGATGCTGAGTTGTATAGTTCCACTTGTAGCTTGTTGACAGTTTGATGTAACCCTTCAATTTCCATTTAGTACAGTATCCTTCATCTCACGATACACCTGACTCCGCCAACATTTTTCTGTCCTACTGCATTGAGCATAATCGTTTCTTATCCCCACAGATTCCGATGCTCGGGTCGTCGCTGTGTTTCAGACACAGAGAAAAGATCGCAAGATGTTCTACTGGAGCTGCTCCACATTCTTCTACAGTGGCGGCATCTCTCGGTCACCATACAGC